TATCGTCTTTCACCGGTAGCACAACCTGGAGTTTCATGCACAGCGCAATCTTTAGGTATTGGGTAAAGACTGACGTTACATAATTTAAATCATAATATATATATATATATATATATATATATATATATATATATATAAATTGTGTATTTGTGCAGCAATCCTTCTTTTATACAAGTTTCATTAAAAACAACTGACGTGGTACTGCAGCTGAGTTTTTTTATTTAATTTTTATAGTGTTCTTATATTTGTTTGTCTTTTCTGAACATTCTTTCAGTCATTATCTCGTAAACAATGTAAATCCACATGTAAAAAAATGCTAAAAATACTGAATAATTATTAATTAAATAAATTATTAATAAAAAAACAAAAAAATATTATTAATAACAAAAACAACACTCAATAAAATCCGCTATGAACACAGACACAATATGTTGTGTGTAGAAAATAAAAACATTCCTATAACTTATACATAAAAATCAATGTATTAAGTTAAAAATAGAATAATCTTAATTAAAACCTTGTCAGTCATTTTTAACATATACTTGGAAAGGTCGAAAGCAGGGTTTCGATCCTGTCCTTAAGGCTTTCGGACGTCTAGTCGCACTAACGAACTGTGATACAGCGAAACAGTACAAATACATATATATATATATTAAAGACATTTTTATGTTTAACATTCTTTTTATAGATACAAGTATTTTAGTAAATGCTCTGCTTATAATAAACAGTATTAAATAACATTTACCGGCCTGAATACCCGAGAAATTTTCATAGAAAATATTCGTCCTTTGACAGGATTCGAACCTGCATCCTATACGGAACCGTCATTTAGCTTGACGTGCCTAACCTCTCGGCCACAAAGGATCGCTCAGTTGGCAAGGTTGAATTTACTGCTTATAAACTTCAATCTTCCATGAATCTCGTACATTCATAACTGCTCATGGCGTATCAAATGTTAACAAATGACGTCATACATTAAGAAATGGACAAAGTCCGACAATTTATTTAAGACATTTTTATGTTTAACATTCTTTTTTTTTTTTAAGACACATATATATATATATATATATATATATATATATATATATATATATATATATATATATATATATATATATATATATATAATAAAAGGTTTAAACACTAATATTAAATACGATCCAATTTATCAGACCTACAAATTCAAAAAAGAAAACAGAAAAAACAACTCTGGGAATAAAAAATATATTTCAGATATATGATTGCATATGTATGTTTATATTTACCACTAGTATTATCTAACTATATATATATATATATATATATATATATATATATATATATATATATATATATATATATATATATATAAAAGACTCAAACACTAATAAACCATGGTTATAGATTATTACATTTGAATTGTAATCACGATCCAATTCAGACCTACAAATTCAAAAGATTATACGTTTGAGGAATTGGATCGTGAATACGATTTATTACGATTCCAATGTAATAAATTATAACCATAAAATATTAGTATTTGAGCCTTTTATATTATATTCTTACTCTGTCCTGGTCATTGCGTACTACCTGGATTGTATCCTTTTAGAAATTTATATAATAATAATATATATAATATATATAATTTATATATATATACATATAAATATAGATAACTAGACTCGTTTCGAAAAACCCTCGAGGGAAAAAAAGGTTTTAAAAAAAGAAAGAGCTACAAACATGAACTTCTGCCGACAAAAAAAATCGCACAGATGCAGGTCTGAAGCCCAAAGAAAAAAACCCGATACGAGTAAACAACTAACTAACAAAAGCGCCCAATACAACCGTAGATCAGACCTAGATACACCTAGTGAGCCAGACTTTTTTACCCAGGTTTCAGCCAAACTTGCCCTGACGATCCGTTTAGGTGAAACCTGTAGGTTTGTCTGACTCACTAGGTGTATTCTATATATATATCTATATATATATATATATATATATATATATATATATATATATATATATATCGGATGTAATAGCAAAATTTTCCAGATCGTGTTAAAACATAATTGTACATGCCACAAAATGTTTTATATCTAAAAAAAAAAAAATGCTAAACTGAGTTTCATTTTTCCAGGGTTTTCAGATAAGACGTTTAGCCATAATCATGCCATTTGCCGTCAGAATCACTGAAAAGCCTCTTGAGTTATTCAACTAAAAAGGATTGATTAACATCGTTTTGTGTCAGCCTCTTTGTCTTCTCAACTGAACAATGGTAAGAGGGAAATGACCATTAAATCCTTCAGTAATGATAGCAAAATTCATACCCTGGCTTCTGTCCTCAAAGTCCATTCAAGAACCATGAAGAGAACAGTGAATAAGTTTTAAAAAAGAGGGAACAGTAGAGAGGAAAACTGAATCAGAAAGTCACAACAGGAAGAGGGATCATCATTTCAACTTAGAGCTAAAGAGTTCAAGTAGAAAAGAAACTCAAACCATACGATGTTTGTCACGTGACAGAAGAACTTCACCTATGACAGTCCAAAGAGCAGCGAAAAAAGTCATGGCAATGAAATCGTACATGAAACCTGTGAGGCACCTTGTTACCCCAGGACAGAAAGTTAGACGGTTAGAGATGGCGAAGAATATATATATATATATATATATATATATATATATATATATATATATATATATGAATTTTATTTCAATACTTATCCTTAACTATGATTAATTAATGATGAACATGATATTTCCGTTTATGATTGATTTCACTATGATTCTTCTGTTAAACTTGCAGAGTAATTGTACATTCTTATTTCTCAAAGCAGAGTCCAATAGAATCCCAGTCAGATATTTTTAATCATTTCTAAGATACAACGGTTTAGAGTTTAATCTAACAATTGGTCAATTTTGCTGTTAAATGATTTGGACAATTTTGCTGTTACACCCATTATATATATATATATATATATATATATATTTGTGTATGTGTACACAATAATACGTACATGGCCGTTGGCTGCTGTAACAAGCACGTCCCCCATTTGATAGGTCTTGTTTTTTCGTCCTAAATGGTTCATTGGCTTGAACATCACACAGAATTTATTATCCGTGGCTGATTTGGTTTTGTTTTGGTTTTTTTACGGCATATCAACACCTCAAAGGGTTATTTAATGCCGACAAATTTTTTTTGCTGGTAATATTTGTTTTTTCAAACATGTATTGCTAGTAATAATTTTCCTTAAAAAAAAACTATTTCTGATAATATTTTTTTTTTCAAAAAAGTACTGATGGTAATTTTTTTGCCTAAAATGTATTGCTGATAATGTATTGATGATAATATTTTTTTTCTTTTACTAAGTATTTCTAGTATTAAAAACTATTTTTACACTTTCATAGTGATTTGACCCCAATTTGGGGGGGGGATAACTATTTGCCCATAGTTGGGACCCTAACAGGTACTACCACCCCGGGTCAGGTTGAACCTGGGAACACCAGCAATTAAGAGGTGGTTCCACGCTCCTCAAAACCTCCTAATCAGAGGCCTTGCTGTTGGACGTTGTTTATCGTCTTACCCAGGACGTGGATGTTGTTTATCGTCATACACAGGACGCGGATGTAGTTTATCGTCTTACCCAGGACGCGGATGTAGTTTATCGTCTTACCCAGGACGCGGATGTAGTTTATCGTCTTACCCAGGACGCGGATGCAGTTTATCGTCATACACAGGACGGTTATCAGAAACAAAACAAAAAAACGAGGTTCGAATATCAGGCAGGGAATGTTGGTGAATCTTCTCACAGATGAAGAGCAGACTTGAGACAACAGAATTATGTTTCTACAGAACAATGCTGAGAATTTCGTGGACTGATCATGCGAGTAACTAAGAAGTTTTAGGGAAATTTGAAACAAAAAAAAACAACACAGAATAAACTGATACTGAGGAAACAGGGTTTGGCGAATTTGACACTCATAGGACATATTGAGGAGAAGAGGGACAGAGGAAAACATCAATGTTACATGAATGATACAATTCCTGTTCATAAATTCCAGTTGCATAAGGTCTTTTTAATTTTTTACAAGCTTTCGTCTGTTCCTACAGATATCCTCAGGTATGGAAATAGATTTGTTCTTGTTTATACTTCTCGGTAATAAATAAAAATTAAAAATAAATTTATAAACAGGGATCATATCATTCATATACAGGTTCGGGGTTAGTGTATCTTATTGAAATTGTTTGTGAAGATGTATTCTCACCATATAAATCATTAAACTCTATATATTTTTTTTTTGTATGAATGATTCATGTAATTATAAATTAAATTGCACCTATAATCGAAATATATATATATATATATATATATATATATATATATATATATATATATATATGCAAATTCCCAAGAGGATAGAATCCAGGTAGAGCTCAATGTCAGGACATAGCAAGCATATAATATAAAAGGCTCAAACACTATTATAAATGAAAGGATGAAGAGAATGATAGGGGATAGATCAAGGCATCAGGAGACGTCAATTGATATTACAATTGAATAGTTGGAGATTATAGCTATATATATATATATATATATATATATATATATATATATACTTTGAAAATTGCTTCTTCTTATATGTTGCACCATATGAAGCTGATCTTTTGTCAATAATTTGATCAATTTTGAAGAAGTATAGTTTGTACATTATTCGTCTGGCACTGCAAGCAATATTTAGCTTAGAGGTATGTGTTTGGCTGACATTTTGATATTTTCTATTGACTGGTTTTATTAACACCCTATATAAGACCCTTTAATTTAACAATAACATTCTGTTTTGTATGATCTATATTTTTAATTAATTTTATATGATCTATATGTCTTGTTTAATCCATTTATTTATATATTTTGTTTGATCTATATAATTTTGTAAAATCCTTTTGTTTTCTTTTCATTTATTTCTTAAAAAGCCATATTATTTATCGACTATAAAATTGCGAAATTCTAACTTTTATCTTACAAGATATGCTGTTTGCCAAGCGTCTTGTTAAATGTATTTCCTTTCGTTTAGTTAATGTCGTCTGCCTTATGTTAACACTAGCAAACTTAAATGTGTATCTAATATAACGTCTAAACTGTCTACAGTTTTAAAATCTGCGGGTCATGACCTCTTAATTAACGTAGGCCATTTTGATTGGCGGATTTGATTGTAAAGAAAATAAATCCAGCAGCATAACCCACCCTCTTTTCTACTCCTTTTTCTTATCTTTCCTTTTTTTCTGGAAAAGAGATTGTATCGCGTCTTTCTTCCTTACTCTTTTTTTTTTCGCGTGAAATCAGGTTGTTTGTGGTTTTTAAATCTCAATAAATTGTACTAACCAGTTACTTACTAACGCCTGATGAGATGTGATAATACACATCGAAACGTGATAGCATTTTTGTAGCGTTATTCCCATGTTTTAATGCAATATCCCATAATAAAGAATATTGCCTCATTATTGGATTGTATTGAGCTCTCGTTTAAATTAATGATACGAACGTCGGAATTTATATTCGATTCCTTTTCATTTCATATGGAGATATTAGGATATTAAAAAAACATATAAAAATCGTTACACATCTGCAGTCGTGTTTTGACGCATATCAATGCGTCTCCTCAGGCGATTACAAATTACTGGAGTGTGAATGAATAATTTGTTTTCAAAAGCGAAATACATTATCTTATTTAGAAAAAAGGTATAAGGCTTGAGGGATTTATCCTGATCAACCAATCAATAACACCGACGTTCGATTCATACTAAGCAAAAAGAAAAAATTAAAAGTTCTTTTTACAAATGGATCATGACCCGCATTTATCTGCCAACAGCAACCAGACATTAAATTAAAGACTGATTCAGATGGTTATATAAATAAATTATATTTCCCAAATAATAATAGGGTGATGTAGAGTGGTAATTTAACCTAATTCAAACTAATTTTTGGTAGTTGATAAATAAGAAGCCTCTTTAAGAAACTAGTAAATAATTCAAACCTATTGAATCATTTGGTAAATTAATATGCAACCGTAAAATAAAGATCATGCATATAAAACGTTAATAATACCAACCAATCAATGTAAAATGTCAAAAATACTAATTACCAATATATCATATAAGATAATAATACTAACAGGAGATTGATACAGAACTATATTAAATCTTATATATATATATATATATATATATATATATATATATATATATATATATATATTGCTTTTAAGGCAAATACCTTACAACTCCACTGACTTGTGCCTTTCGACTGACAGAAACATTGAAATGTAAAGATTCTGTATTAGTTTTTCGACCGTTTCTTATCTATTTATTTATTTATTATTTTTTTTCTTTTTAGGTTTCACAATTAAATTTCTATTTCCGACACGAATTCAGTCCACACCGGGGTTGATAAAACAGGCGACCGATATCTTTGCCTGCCGAAATAAGATATTCCCCATATGAGGTAATGTGGCAAATACATTGAGGTAAATACATTGAGCTCTTTTTGTGGATCAGTTTTAATATTTTATATTAGTAGGATACACTTGGATTACATACCAAAGGATTTGTTAGCTTTTCTCTCTCTCTCTCTCTCTCTATATATATATATATATATATATATATATATATATATATATATATATATATATTAATTAAAGCATTAATATTATAAATTAATTGATTTATTTTAAATCAATTAATTTATAATATATATATATATATATATATATATAATTATAAATTAATTGATTTAAAATAAATCAATTAATTTATAATATTAATGCTCTGTAAATTTACATTGAGCACTATTTTGTAAAAATAAAAATATCTATAAGAACACCGAATTATTTATCTTACTGTTCTTTTTCTTTATATATATATATATATATATATATATATATATATATATATATATATATATATATCCTTTCCTTTCTCTAACCTTGTCGATAGCGAAGGTAGAGGAGGACCGTAATCTGCGTTATTTTTTTTTTTTAACATTTCACATTTTTTTGTAAAATTTATTTCTTTCCCAAGGGTCTCTTTCCGATTGAACAGACACGACCAGAGGAATCGATTAAGGAACAAACACGATAGGTGACACACAATAAGGGAAACAGGAAATCTAAATTTATTAACAAACATGGAATAGTGGAAAAGATAAAAATAAAAAAAATAAAAAAACGGCCAAAACAAAAATGACGATATGTCAAGAATAAACATTTAAACATTGTGGACAAAATAGTGGGAGGAGAACATCCTCTAAGAAAGGTAAAATAAAATCAACGTATGGCCTTGTGCCATACTCCCACGAATTTACAGAACATGTGCTATACCTGCACGGATTCACAAAACATCAAAATTTTAAGACAAGTGGACAGAAACATGTAATAAAAAGATCCCATGCTAAATTTGCATGAAAGTACAAATATGAAATAGAGGTACATTTAAACAGAAAACGGAGCACAAGAAAAACAATAAACTTGACTCAGAATAATATCATTTTCCACTAATAATATCTCTTATTATATCTACTTCTTTTCTTTTTATTTTTCCTTTTCTATTTCTTTTTATAAGGGTCTCCATTTGAGGTCTTTTCTTGCTTCCTCCCTTTCTCTTTTCGTCGTCTAGGGGCTTGGCTGACGATGAAGCAGAAAATGTGTTCCCTCTCTCTTTCGTCTTGATATAACAGCATTTTCGCTCGAGATGGTCTGTTTTTTCTTTCTTTTCCCTCTCGTGCTTTGTTTAAGGGCTTGGTAACCGTTGAAACTGCTTTCTTTCTCTTCGATATAGCGGCGTTCCGCATACGTCGCCAAACGGGTCCATCCATCCGACTCGGAGACCAATTCTCCTCAAAATTTCGCAAACAAATTTTTTTTGCCCATATGCCGAGACATTCGCCAAACGTCCTACCGGTCCGCAGGCCTGGACGAAGACTAACTTTTCCGTTTCACTATTCGTTTCCATTTTCTTCTTGTCACGTGGTCAATTTTCAAAATACTAACTTTTTCCCATTATGGGTGGAATGGGTTCATCGACCCTCTCATCTTCAGGGTCAGAGAAAGTTTAGTTTAAAACGTTTCAACTTCTCCCAACCGGAATCTATCCGTGTAAATCATACTGTCAACACCTTGACCAAAAGAGAAGGAAAGGGTACACTCTGGTCAATCCTTGTCGCCACTAAGCCTACCTATCTCTTTGGGTTTACTATCTTTACATTTTCTGCAAGTGCCGGGCACTTTATTTTAGAATGCTTCTAAGCGTAACAATGGTTAGAATCTCCGACTGACACCAATTCAGTCGGGTTTCGATCCTAGCTAGAGGCAACCGGATGTCTAGCCACACTGATGAGCTGTGAAACAGCGAAACAGTCTGTGTGCGGATGACGTTATATATATATATATATATATATATATATATATATATATATTAGTGAACATTGAAGTCAACACTTAGAGGCGACAGTTTGTTTCATGCTAGACGCAATCGTCAGGCTACGAGTGCTGTTTTTTTTTCTCGGCTATTTATATATACGGTTCAGTGGTGCATTGTGGGTAGTCTATTTTGGGGGTTATTTTGCCGGAAGTCGTTTATTTATTTGTTTATTTATTTATTTGGGTTAAATTATTTTGTTTGTTTTTATTTATTTTTTTTTTATTTCTTATCTTATATAATTATTTTAATTTTAATCGGTGTTTTATTAACGTAGTAAAAATTGTTTATATCGCTTACTTAATAGTTTTTTTTTGCTTTGGGAAGATAATTAAATGCACCACTGACCCGTATATATATATATATATATATATATATATATATATGTATATATAGCAGAGAAAAAAAACAGCACTGGTGGCCTGACGATTGCATCTAGCATGAAACAGACTGTTACCTCTAAGTTTTGACTTCAGTGTTCACTTTTATATTTACACACGCTCTATATCTGATATTGAGCCCTTTATCACATAAATATACCAAGCCTTAAGACTATATTTCTTCCTATTATATATATATGTATGTATGTATTAGCAGCATGGCCCGGCGTTGCCCGTGCTTGATTCAAAAATCGTACGACTCATACAGCAATCGCAATTACTTCACTTAAATTATTTTTGCCCTTCCTTGCCTTTAATTAGTGCCCTTTGCCGTGCTGATGTTGCTACATGCCTTACTTCTTGCCTATCACACAGTGCGAATTTTTTATAAGCTCTATACTAAACATTAAATCTGTTACGAAAAAAGAACTAAACAAAATGAACACAAAACGATCAGCTTTAAAAAAAGGACTCGTAACTGGAAAAACCGAATGAAAAAAGAACGTTAACAACAAATATTTTTCACACCCAACCCAGTTCTGCGGAATCAGAATCAACGTTGATTTTAAGCAAGCGAATCAGCCAATTGGAGTAAAGTGCCATGCAGATTGAAATTTTTCCCACTTGTTCCGAATGAAGCTATCGATTTTTTTTTGCATCCTAGCATGCTAGTTAACATTCGTGTCAGTCAGCTGTTGGCTCTCACGCTGGCCAATAGAATCTTCCTGCCTATTCGTGGCAGCCAGCTATAGGCTCTCACTCTGACCAGTAGAAAACGGTCGCAAACTACATGAAAAGTGCCGTAGAAGCATGAAAAAATCGATTATTTCCACTATCGATGTGAGTTGACTTCCCGCTAACTTGGAGCATGTTATGTATATTTTGGTGCAAATCCATTGAAAATTGCGGCCGTGCATTCGTTAAACACACACACATACATCCTGCCTTATATATATATATATATATATATATATATATATATATATATATATATCAAGAGATAAAGAGAAGTTTGTGGTCGTTGGTTACTAATTCAATGAAAATACGTTCGTTTGTTTTTTTATACTATTGGTAAGACTGAATGGAGTTCAGATTTTTTACTTATGACAACCAGTCTATTAACTATTTTCAGCTAGTTAAACAGTAAACAAAAAGGAAAAACAAAAAGAAAACAAAGATGGCGCCTTCCGAATAAGATGGGTGCGGTGATCGATATTATTTTCCGAGGTTAACACGTAATCGAATTAAGAACGCCCGAGATAGCGTAGCAAAAAAAGGTGATTGATCAAGTGCGTCCATTTTTATGCCTGATCGAATTTTACCACTTCCTGTTTCGTTCTAAACAAAAGCCCGATGCTGTCCGAACGTTTTGGAAAATATTGGAAAGAAAGAAAAATACTTAAAAAGGCAGAGACAATTGGTGGAAAGCAGTCAGATTTTTTTGTTTTCTAATATGACGAAAGACGACTCGTTTTTAAAGTGGGGCCCCCATTTACCATCCGGCTATAACCAACCTTCACCTAACAGCACCTCAGATTATTTTCTTTCTTTAAACACGTTTACCTGAATAAAGAAGCTTTAAATTAAACATGACCCTAAAAACAAAACTAATTAACTATCGAGCGATAATGAGTGAAATAACGTTAGAGATTAAGTTTTTTCAGCTTTTAATTATCGGCATTTCCTCTAGGAAAAAGCTCTTGTTTGGTAAGATGGAGGAATATCTGGAACTGATTTCTCTGACTACTGAAATGTCCGTTAGCTTTTAAACGATATACAGTAATTAATGTTGTATAATGCAGCTCTTTTATAAATCGGTATTTCCTCTAGAGAAAGCTCTTGTTTGGTAAGATGGAGGAATATCTGGAACTAATTTCTCTGACTACTGAAATGTCCGTTAGCTTTTAAACGATATACAGTAATTAATGTTGTATAATGCGCAGCTCTTTTATAAATCGGTATTTCCTCTAAGAGAAAGCTCTTGTTTGGTAAGATGGAGGAATATCTGGAACTAATTTCTCTGACTACTGAAATGTCCGTTAGCTTTTAAACGATATACAGTAATTAATGTTGTATAATGCGCAGCTCTTTTATAAATCGGTATTTCCTCTAAGAGAAAGCTCTTGTTTGGTAAGATGGAGGAATATCTGGAACTGATTTCTCTGACTACTGAAATGTCCGTTAGCTTTTAAACGATATACAGTAATTAATGTTGTATAATGCGCAGCTCTTTTATAAATCGGTATTTCCTCTAAGAGAAAGCTCTTGTTTGGTAAGATGGAGGAATATCTGGAACTGATTTCTCTGACTACTGAAATGTCCGTTAGCTTTTAAACGATATACAGTAATTAATGTTGTATAATGCGCAGCTCTTTTATGGATCGGCCTTTTCTCTAGGCTCAAACTCTCGTTTGCTAACATAGGGAAATATCTTGAACCGATTTCTCTAATATGAATGCCACGTACTGCGATTAGTTGTTCTGCAACAATGGCGAAGACGGCTAAACGAAGCTCAGAATGAAGATAGTTGATGCGTACAAAGGAGCTGATGGATATACAACACTTTCCAAGAATTTAAATATTCCTAGATCAACAATTCGTAGCATTATCTAGAATTACAACGAATCTCATTCTATTAAGAATAAATTAAAAACTGGCAGAAAACGGTTAATTTCTGAGAGAATGGAAAGGACAGTCTTTAGAGATGTCCCGAAGAATCCTCACTTGACGACAAAGGAGATTGTCAATGATGTAAATGCATCAGGACTGACTGTATCGAAGATGACAATCATTAGATGCATTCATTGAGCAGGACTTTGAGCTTGTCGCCCAAGAAAAATTCCATAAACACCTAAAATGCAGATTAGCTTATGCTAGAAGCCATCTAGAACTTAGGAGTAAATATTGGAACTCTGTTTTATGGTCAGATGAAACCAAACTAGAATTATTTGGTTACATGAATTCCCGTAATCGATGGAGGAAAATTGATGCAGTCCAAAATTATTCTAAAATTCAATGAAGAAGACAATATGTGAGTTCCACGTACCGTGATAACCTATTCGTTCTGCAACCATGACGAAGATGGCTGAACATTACAAGAAACTCCGAATGAAGACAATTGATGTGTACAAACAAGGTGATGGATATACAACACTTTTCCAAACGTTTAAATGTTCCTAGATCGACAATTTGTAGCATTATCAAGAATTACAACGAGTCTAATTGTGTTGAGAATAAATTAAAGACTGACAGAAAACGGTTAATTTCTGAGAGAATGGAAAGGAAAATTAGTAGAGATGTCCCAAAGAATCCCCACTTGACGACAAAGAACATTGTCAATGGTGTAAAGACATCAGGATTGACTGTATCAACGATGACAATCACTAGATGCTTTCATCGAGCAGGACTTCGATCTTGTCACCCAAGGAAAACTGCCTTAGGCTAGAAGCCATCTAGAACATGGCATTAAATTTTGGAAGTCTGTTTTTTGGTTAGATGAAACTAAACTAGAATTATTTGGTAACATGAACTTATGTCTGGAGGAAAATGAATAAAGCTCACAAAGCAAAAAAATAAATAAATAAATAAATACCCTCCTAACAATTAAGCACAAGGGTAGGAGCATTCTGCTCTGGAGATATTTTGCTGATTCTGAGCCAAGGAGAACTAGTGAGAGTACAGGGTGTCATAGATAAAGAGCAGTATTTTACTGTTATTAAAAATGATATAAAACAAAGTGCATGAAAGCTGTTTTCGGGGCATCACTGGACGTTCCAACATGACAATGACTTGAAACACACAGTACAAGTTGTTACAAAATTCTTAGATGACAGCAAAATTGTGGTATTGGCGTACCCCGCACAAAGTCCTGACCTAAATCCCATTGAAAATGTATGGGCATATTTGAAGAAAAATGTAAGAAAAAGAATTCTTTATAATTACGAGGAAATAAATGCTATTGCCAAGGAGAATGGAACAAAATACCTATCAATGTGTGTAGTGATCTTGTAAAGAATTAATTGTGGCTTCCGATAATGAATTCCGTTAAGAATTCTAATTATCTCCTTGTCACCTCAATTTAAAAATTGAATAAGTCCGGTGAGAAGACATATCCTTGTCTTTCGCCTCTTTCTAATTTTGTATATTTTCCTATTCTGGATTATTTCTTTTTTATTCGTAGGCAGGTAGTTTGCACCCAGTGTTTGTTCTGGATTATTCTAATACCCATGGCCGCTCTTTTTCGTTGTGGCCAGGCTTGCGTGGTCCAGTGTCTCTGAGAGCGATGCCGTCGGGAGTTCTAAACTCCTGGTAGGGCCACCCTTGGCGTCAAGGTCGAAGACGAGGAATCAACCCCAGCGGTGGAACAAACGGACGCTGATTACAACATATCTTAACGGCTGAACCGGCGGATGAAGAGAGCGACGCATAACGAATGTGCCACTCGAAAT